ATAAATTATCTTCTGTAATATCAAATAGAGCTCATTAATTCCTGCAATTGATCACCTGCACTTAGAGCACACAAGCGATCTGGCATTATTGCACTTACTCTTCAAGAAATCCTGTCATGCTTTAAAATACTACCAAGAGGAATTAGATGATGAGCTTTTCAGGCAGACATTTTTCAGCTCTTGTCTTCCATAAGCAAATTCTGCAACTGAACTCCTGCCAAAACTAAAATTTCACTCTTAACAGAAGGGACAGTGTATGCTGTTGCCTGAATTAATCTCTGTTATTTAAGATTCAGCAAAGCATGCTTACATATGAGTAATACAACATATTTAAGCACATGTCTAAGTGTTTTGCTGAATCAAGGCCTAAAAGAGGTTCCACTGGTGTTAGGGCTGAGAGGATTTGAAACTACATTTAAATACCATCCTACCAAGCTTCAGTTGTTTTCTCTAAGAGTCTGTGGATAAAGATCTACATTTAACTACTCGATCCCAGGGAAACCAGATCGCTTTAGCTTTCACATTACCTGAAGAGAATTATCTGACCTCTGAAAAAAAGCTGAGAAGCATGGCTTTTTGCAGAAGGCAATAGGGGTTTACACAGAGATGTAACAAAAATTAACGACAAAGTTCTGAGATGCTGAACTTGCTCGGTTACAGGAGCACGGCTCAACAATCCAAAGCCTACTGAACACATTAAAGAGGCAAAAATACAGCATATAAAATGTGCCTCCTAGGTCATTGACTTTTTCTTTCCAATCTTCTTCTGACCTCAGCTCACTGGCAAGATTTCCTTTTTTTTTTTTTGAGGAGATCCTGTACAAATCCGAATCCATATATTACTGAGTTTTATCCCAAAGCTGCCAGAACACCTAGGAAGACAATGAAGAGATTTACCATGTGAGCACTTTACTAAAACATCTAAAGGGAACAGAAATCTCCTGTTTATTTACTGTATTTCTGAAACATCTCCTCATCTTTCTGTGTTCACGTTCTCAAGAGCTAACCACCATCACTGCAGAAGACCCCTGAGAATCCTTCCTTCCATCCTCACACTTCTACACTAGCAAGGTGCCTGCATCTCTGCGTGTATTTTATATTTTCCTCTTAATTAGAAGCAACACAAACCCTCCAGTAACGATGTGATACACAATGGCAGGAGTCGAAAAGCACAGCACTGAGGCAAGTGCTGCATCTTCACTGGGACATGCAGGATGACCCATTCTGCCAGGACATCCTGACACACTGCCCTTTTCAGCCAGGGCACCCTGACAGATGGCACTTGGCACTGAAACCAAAGTTAAAGCTCAAAGAAGTGCCTAAAAGGACTCCGACTTAGGCAGAGTTTCCTATTGAGGGTCTCTTCCCACTTCTCTGTATGACTGCACTTGTCTTTGCAGAGCTGAATATACTCACTGCTGAGTGCTGAAACAAGGCCCTTGCAAGCTCCATCACTCATTATCACATTTCAGCCTGAGCAGTCTCCAAACCACAACTTTTCCCTAGGGTTTGAAATATGTTTTTAATTTCTATTTTTTAATTGTAGCTAGTTAAATATCGGGCTCTTATCTAAATCAAATGTCTGTATCAGAAATAGTGTGGGCAGCAAAAGTAGGGAAGCGATCATGCCCCTGTACTCAGCATTGGTGAGGTCACACCTCAAATACTGTGTTCAGTTTTGGGCCCCTACAAGAAGGACAATGAGGCACTAGAGCGTGTCCAGAGAATGGCAACAAAGCTGGTGAAGGGTCTGGAGAACAAGTCTTATGAGGAGCAGCTGAGGGAGCAGGGGTTTAATCTGGAGAAGAGGAGGCTAAGGGGGAGACCTTATCACTCTCTACAACAACCCAAAAGGAGGTTGTTGTGAGGTGGGTGTTGGTCTTTTCTCCCAACTAACATGTGATAGGATGAGAGAAATTGCCTTAGAGTTGTGCTAGGGCAGGGTCAGATTGGCTATTAGGAAAAAATTCTTTACTGAAAGAGTGGTCAAGCATTGGAACAGGCTGCCTAAGGTAGAGTCAGCATCCCTGGAGGTGTTCAAAAAACATGTAGATGTGGCACTTTGGGACATGGTTTAGTGGGCATGCTGGTGTTGGGTTGACGGTTGGACTTTGAGCTTACAGGTCTCTTCCAACCTTAAGGATTCTATGATTCCACTAACCTACTTCCCTGCTCTCCTGTCAAAGGCTCAGAAGGAGCATCAGTCTGAGTGCTGTGATCTCTTGCCTACAAAGGCCATTAGTGATCACCCAATTACTTATGTATTGAATATAAAAGCTTGGCTCAATTTAAAACACTTTCCAAAGGGACATTTAGTCTTATCTGAAAACAAGAATAGAGAATCTGCTACTTCTCCTGCTATTTCATTCCAGCAGTTAATTTTCCTCATTGTATAAAAACTGGTTTTGATTTCCTATTTGAATTGTGTCATTTCAGCCTCCAGAAAAGATCTCTCTTGTGTTTGTCTCTAGTAGGTACGAGACCACTTTCTAATGCTGTTTTATGGCAAAAGTATTTACGAGCTGAAGCCACACATCTCTCCCATAATTTCTGATACCCAAAATACACTAGGCTCTCATGATTGGCTTTTCTCCAGCCTTTAATCATCTGTGTAACTCCTTTCGGACACTGTCCAGTTTCTCCTCATCTCTTTAAGGGTGGGCACCAAAACTTAAGAGTACAGAATCTTCACCTGGGTCCCACTACTGTCACACTGAAGGGAAAATGAACTCCCTGTTTATAAACTGCAATACTGCAAGAAGTTTGTGTTTGCTTCCTTGTACAAGGTGTCCTGTAAAACCTCTTCAGCAGCACACTCCAGGATGTAATTCTCATAGATGGGACCTGCATGCCTTATTCCCAAGGTCTGGATCTACTGGCACTGTCCTGAATCACTCTGGTTTTCCCAAGGACTGCACAGCCCCGGATAAACTGGGAAACTAAAGAGCTAATGCAACACCTCCTTTCAAGCTGTGCTCATTTTGATATTATTTTGCAGCTGAGTTGAGAGGAAAAGTTCTGGTTTTGACTTGCAGTTGCATGTAGCTGAAGGTAAGCTTTGATCAAGGTTTTTTTTTTACCTGCACTCAGGCACTGCTACCACATCAGCAGCACCTGCACCTTTTCAGTGCCTAACATAAGAAAGTCCCCACATGTGCCCTTTTCAATGGGACTGTATCAGAGGTTGCAGAACAAAGAAAATCCAAGCCCTTCTTGCTTGCAAAACATCCTGGTAGATGACAGCTGGGCCCTTGCCCCATGAGCTGTACAGCAAGAAGCTCAGAAGACAAGCTGGAGCACTGCTTCCTCGTGTGTGTGTGAATCATGAAATTCCACCAGCACTGTGGGGTGGGGCAAAACTACGCTGCTGTGAACAGACATGTCTCGAGCTGCCCTATGGTAGATGTACATTGGCCACACACACCTCACCAAGACAGTCAGAAAAGCTTGTTGTGCTTTTGAGTAATTAAGTTGGGTTTGTATTTTGCTGTTGAGATACATTTCTCTGCCCTTATACATTCTTCTGAGGAACTGAGTGACCTGTGAATAGATCCCTGTGGTAGCAAACACATATCCTGACTACTTAGAAAAACCCATGCCTGCCCCAGAGAGGAAGCTGGAATTCACCCATGCAATTAGGTTAGGTTAATGTTGGCGATGAGTGGAGAGATACTCTCCGATATCATATTTTGTAATCCTCTGCTAAGCAGGATGCTGTTCACTTTGGGAGCCAACAAAACAGCTACTCATTCACTGTCAGACTTGAGCAAAGTTGAGAGCGAACCCTGAAGGTCTGAGATGAGTTTATTCTAGAAGCTGGTTATGGTCCAGAGCCATTTATAAAGGTCACAAAATTCTACATTCAGGCTGTAGGTTTCTTTAAACCAATATTTATCTGTACAAATCTCAGGAGAAACGACAACACTTCTTTCACAAGTGAACTTCACAATGGTCTTTTCATTATCCACTTATTTGGTTCTATGCCAATAATCTTTTACTCTTTTTCTAATCCTTAAATAATCCTTTTTATAAACAATTTATGCTCAACATATTCTGCCCACAGTCAATCTTTTGCTGTATGTATGTATTGCAACAAGATCTTCAACATCCAGGCAAATATTTTTCTATAGATGCATTAAATAAACATGTGGGTATATCAAGAAAAACTACCTGAACTCCTGAAAATTGAGCTCTCATACTTCCTTTGAACTCGATGGGAATTTGTGAGCTCTCAGCAGTTACAGACAAGACATTGAGGAAATTTCCAGCTTAAGCTCACAATGCTTGACTTAAGGCAAACACTTCTGAAAGTGCTGCCCTGAATTTTCCAAGTCTTGCTTCCCCTGGCAAAGCCACAACTTCCCTAATTCACATACAGAATGTGTCACTTCCAGATGTGTTCAGATTAAAAGAGAAATCTGAGATCCTAAGAATGGCAAGGAGGAGACAGTGATTTACCTGCAAATTTTCCTCTACAAAAATAAAATATTGTAATAGCTTAAGGCGTTTCAACATGCAGTTTTCTATTTGCTCTTACCACATTCAAATATAAGAGAACAATTTTTGACTACTATGTATATACAGAAATGACAAATAGACATGCTTGACTAGAGTTGCATTTGCAAGTAGAAAGTCAGGGAAAATATGGTTTTGCTTGCACAAATTTTATCATTTTTCTGTAAAAATGATAAATGCGCATTACAGTTCCATAAACAAAAGTGATTTGAAGTATGTAGTGCTTATAACGGCCAGGCTGAAGCCATTTTGTTAATGCAGCCCTTAAACAACCAAATACTACTTTTCTGGGCTGTTGCTTAAGAAAACACCATTGAACACTTACAGATGGCAAATAAAAAAACAACTTTTGAAGCTGAAGTCTTGCATGGGAATTTTGCCTGGGGAAGCAGGCAAGATGAGGTCTCATTTTGTACACTGGTTGCTACAGGAATATGTATTACAAAAGGAAGCCACTTAATAAGGCTACAGTAGATCTGACTTACCACAAGAGCAGCACGTGAAGCAGTTAGTATGATAGAGGTTTCCCATTGCTTGGCAAGCCTGGCTCGCTCCATACACACCTTTTCCACATTTTATACAAATACCTACAAAGCAGAAAGAGAATGAAAGTTAGAATCCTCTGCAGCTCCTAAAAACAGCTCTGGGCTGTTGACTCATAACACTCACAATACACCATCAGGCCCTAAATCAATGAGCTCCTCACCCTGAATAGATTCAAGTACCCAAGACAGCAGCAGGCAGCTTGAGTGAAAGAAATGCATGGAAATCAACCCAAAATAAAGGAGGAGGGAGTCTCTGCTGGTGCTTCAATGCACGGAGACTGAGGCTGGCTAAAAACAGAAATCCAAAGGAAGCAGGTGAAATGAGAGGGCAGAAAATCTGCACACTCCCTGAAAATAACTCTGCAATTTAGTGAGACCTTCACAACTGTGAAGTGTTCCACCACATTCCATTCAATAATCACTAATAAAACAACAATTCAGTCCAAAACCTAAAGACTTCTCTTTGCCCCTCTCCAGCAATGCAACATCAACAGTCATATTTAATACTTGTTTAACTTTCCATGAATAGTAGTATGTAACTTCATAAACATAGCCTCCCAGCTTACAAAACAGAAGAGCAAGGCTTCTACCTTCCTTATGGTCTATGATCTCAATAAGCTTTACAGAGTTTTTGAGGGTTTTGTTTGTTTTTAAAAAGCTGCATCCTCATAGTTACAGCTTTAAGAGTATTTTTGTCTATATGCATAACTATGCCTCTACCTATGCATAACCTCTCTATATTCAAACCAGGGCAGGGAGGTAATTAAAGAATCACTTTGCTTCTGAAGAGGAAACAATGCTGGAGAATCCATGTCCTTTTGTCATATACTAAGGAACACTGAGTTCTTCTGAGGCATCCCTTGGTCTCTGTAGCGGGACAGTACATCTCAAGACAAGGCTGGGTGATTTTTAAAACGCTACAATAGAAGATAAAATTGGTATTTTTGCCTCATACTACTCTACAATAAAGCTGCTGTGCTCCATGTGCTGTTTGAGGCTATATTTCTACAAATGCATGTACAAGTTCAGCATTAATCACCAGCATCAAGAAAATTGCTAATATATATGAATTTGGGAACTACAAAATTGGGCTTTAGTCATCCAGAATTCTTCCCTGTTGTGCTACGAACATTTTATACACACAAACACACAGAAAACAACAAAGGCAAGCAGCTCAGGGAGTGGGAAATCAGTATATTATGAACTGGTAGAAACTTTAATAGCAGAAAGAATAAAGCTAACAAAGTGTTTGGTGTCTCAGTTCTGTTTCCATAGGTTTTGCTTTTATTCATTCCCAATATATTAATTGGCCTAAGCTGTCACACCAGAGAGGCAGAAACGCCATCTGTCCCTGGCAGGTGGCTGTATGGAGATGACCAAAGCTGACAGAAGAGCAGTCCCCACTAACACAGCAGAGACTGCACCCAGGCTCTCAGCGAGGGACCAGTCACGGACAACGCGATGCCTGTGAACACCTCTGCCCCGCCAAGCTACTCAAGACACATTGTAAACACCATTTCTGAAACCAGACTGTTTCGGTTCAGTGTAGCATTAACACAGCCACCTGCATGGTCTGTGTAGTGTAATCAGTCAAGTTAAAAAAACCCTATACTTGAAGAAAAGAATCTCCCTATGCTACTAATTCATATTGAAATGGAAAGACCTTTAAATCATGGGTTTCTTGGTGTTCATACCTTTCATTCCCTCATTTCAAACCATGAGGAGAGATTAGCCTTTCATTCAACTAGCTCAACGTCCTGGCACAGTGTTGCCATACTGGACCATGAGCACACTTGTCAAATGACACAATAATTTTAAAAAACAATAAATTGATTGGTAAGATTTTTTTTTTACACTCTTAAATTATTTCAGTGTTTCAGTGAAGCAGTAACTATAACTTTAATATTACCAATTAATACCAATGTCCCAAGCTAAAACCTGTAATACAAACTATCTGCCAGATAAATCCACCAGTTCATTGCTGGTCCTTAGACTAGCTCAGCTCCAATACAGGAAGGAATGTCAGAATATTTGTTGTCTTATCTAAGGCTGTTACATCTATTTATTTATTTGTAACCAAAGGTTATGAAAAAAGTCTGCTATTTGCCATGAGTTAATGGTTAACTGCTGATGAAAGATGGTTACTGATTACTGTGGACAGCATGATCAGAGAAGGCATCCCATCCCATCAGCCAGCAGCTGCAGTGATTACTCTCAACAGCAGCACAGCATCTACAAACCTGCTCTGTCTCATCAACATACCACAGGCTCTGCAATAACCCTGGTCCCTCCTGGCCCTGGGGCAGCAGACATTGCACGCACAGCAGAGAACACGGGGCTCCCACCAGAAATGAGCAATCTGTGACTTCAGTGTCAGGTCTTGGTACGACATTTCAGGTAACTCTTGGCAGCAGAGCCAGAAGAGGGCCCTTTCAGAGCTCCCCAGCTACCTAGACCCTTCTTGCCCATCTTTTCACGCCAACCATGTACCCAGGATTGGCAGCTATTGATAGTCTGTCTATACACCGAGATCTACCTATTCCTATGTACACTTAGTATTACTCAAAGAGGAACAGAAATCCAGAGTCTGCAATTCCCTGGCACTTCTGTCTATGAGCTCTCATGCACAGATCTACTACAGCCATGAACTACTTTGATAAATGAAGTTATGGCCTCATTTCTTTGCCATTGCTCTACTTCTTGCTTCATCAGAAGCAAGAGAAGTATTTATTGTGGATGTTAAACTTAAATTGGCCTCTCCAGCAAGTGATTTGTTATGAGCAGCTGTCAGTTTGCTAACTCATTTTCTCTAAGAGACTAGTCATTAACTCCAGGAATGAATGACCACAGAGACTATTAGCATACTAAAAAAGTGCATGTATAATTCCAGAAGTGTATTTTGGAAAACATACATGCAGCTGTGGTGTGAGTATAGTGTGAGCTCATAACTGTCTAGGAAAAGCACTGATTACATGGCTGTTTTCCACCAGTCACAGCCCGGACTGCACACTGCAACCTTGTGAAAGCCTTGACATAACAGCTACATAACTTTTTTTTTTTTCCAGATTTAATTCCAAAGCTTGTTAAACCACCTATGAGGAATGTTCTGTTACAGACCAAGCATGTCTCGTTTCTGACACTTCACTTGACGTGACTTCAGATCAACTGCTTCAGCCTTTATATGATTCCTTTCCCCTCCCAACACCTCTATTCCCAGCAGCCAACTATGCCTCCAGTTCTTTAACTTATCAACTGTTGCATTTCCACCCAGGTCATCAGCTCTCTTACAGATCTGGTGTCTCTCTTTAACTCGAAAAAGATGTTACAAGATGTTGCATATACCCAAAGTTTGCATAAAGTGGGAGCACAGCATCACAGCATTCTGCTGCAGTGAAGAGACGTTTGCATCCTCATACAGCATTTAACCAAACATGAGAGTGGACACTGAACAAACACACTCTGTGGACCACGGCAAAAGACCACCTACAAAAATTACACTAGAGAGAGAAGGGGCTCCCAGAGACTCTCTGCTGGAGTTACCTGCAGCACATTGCCAGCACTCCCAACTTCTTTAAGCAGTCCGCTTCATCAAGCTTGACCGTGTCAGTCAGAACAACATCTCTGGACAAAAGCCAGGCAAGCCTCCAGCACTGTACAGCAACACAGCTGTCAGAAGCACAGTGTTCTCTGGGTAACTCATGCATTAGCAAAACGCTAACATCAGCACCAAGACAAAACAAGACAGGTGTTCTCTTGTGTAGTCAGTTGTTTCGCTCCAGACTCAAGAGACCAAATGCAGTGCATTATAACAAGCAAAGGTATCAGCAACAACCTAAAGATATGAAAGCTATACCATTTTTGTTCAGCTTGCTTAAGAGTTCCCTGTAGTAGCCTACACATTGGAAGCTCAGTGTGGGACCTGTACATCAAATCCTGGGATGCTCTTTTGACCATGTCAGTACAGACTAGCACTTCATACAGAATTTACCAGGTACCCAGAATTGGGAAAGAGGCAGTAAGCAAAGGTTAAATGGAGCATGTATAAAGGCAGATTATTTAACCACCTTTTGGCCAAGCTTTGTCCTCAGATGCATGTGGAACTCGGACTGTGCCTAATGCCATCCTCGCTTAACCTGAAGTCAAGGGTTTAGCACAAATGCAAGAAAAATGGTACCATATGGCCTCAACTCCAGTACACAGAAGCTGTGTGAGTCAGAGGGAGAATCTGGTTATCACACTCCTTGACAGCATGCCACGGCTCAGGGATGAGCTGCAGCTTTACTGTCTTACAGCCTCACCGTATCTCCAGGATAACTGCTACATGTTGCCTACAGTAGGAAACAACCCAGCCCTGTCGTCAAGAGTTATGGTAAAGCTAAAATTAACAACTAACACATGGCACAGATGACTCCTTCCCTGCCTCTGCAGTTCTGTTCATGCTGCAGTGCTGGGAAAAGGGCGGGTGAATGGGCTACTGCAAGATCTTCTTTTCTTTTAAACAGGAAAAGACCATTTCTATGTACGTCCCCAAACGAGCTTTCCCACACCTGTGGCCTAGCCAAGGTGCAGGGACAGGGAAATGAAAGCCTACAGCCATGAAGTGGGAAGAACAAAAGAGGAGGGAAGCCTTGACTCAGCTCAAGAAATCCAAGTGCAGCAACAGAGGCCAGCTGCAAGAGCGGGAGGGCTGTGGAGGAGCTGTGTCAGATGCCTGCAGGGGTCCTTGGCCACGGGAGGTGTTCCCAGATGGGCTGTAGTGCCTGCAGCTGCTGATCTCACACCTGGGCAGGTCTTACACTACCTTTAAAAAAATAGTCTGCTAATAAGCTGGGTAAATAGTGAAGCATCAGAGCTGCCCCAAGCCCGGGCAGCTGTGCCACTGCTGCAGCAGTACCTGCCTGAGCTGACAGCAGCTACTGTGCAGATGTTCTGGGCTGCAGCAGCTTGGATGCAGAGAGGTGACTTCAGGCAAGAAGAATGCTCCCTTCCTTCCAGCAACCACAGCAGGAGGACTCTTCTGACACACACGTCACCTCCCAGTC